TGGAATCACCCTGAGTTCAAGTCCACCACTGTGCACCATACCTTCTGTTCATAGTCCAGATATAGTCCAGATACATATGAACCATATAATACCTCCCACAGACAACATAGTCCAAGCAGAACTAACCGACAACAGATTTGGAATGTATTGGATCAGCTACAGATCCAGATACATTCAGAATGCCGTGCAGCGCAGAGATGCCTTTTCCTCCTCCTCAATTTGTCGTTGGGTTCCCAAAATAGGAAAAACAATGTCCTTCCATCAATCCACAGCCAATCACAGATGCCATCTCCTTTGCCAGATGAAGGTGTCCTTTCCATCTTTCCTAAAATAGCACAGTGTCCTGTCAATGGTACGAGCGCTGATGAGTTCCAACCCCGATGGAATTAATTTAGATGTTAATTCCATCGGGGGATTTGAACCAATCATGAGCTTGGTCAATCGCTTAATGGCACGTGTACCATTGACAGGACGCTGTGCTATTTTAGGAAAGATGCAAAGGACACCTTCATCGCCTTCACTACAGTCTGGCAAAGAATGTGGCAGCTGTGATTGGCCGTGGATTGGCTGGGATGGCATCGGACGATATATGTATATATATATATCGTCAAATAGAACTGTATATATATCGTCACAAACAGAACTGCCCGGTAAACCGTAGGCAGAGAGAGAGAAGAGGACAACAAATGAGGGGCTGTGACAAACTGTTTCGTCGGAGTTTCACCGACTCATCAGGAGGCTGTATATATATATATACATTATATACATATTTACATACATATACATATTTACATACATATATACATGTAGAGGCCGGTGTTTATAAGGTGGGATTAAACCACCAGTATGTCCTAAAGTCGGGTGGGTAAACAAGCCACCACGGGATGAACGTACCCGCCCAGACATTGGTGCGTCGGTTCGTTTGAGTAGAAGTGCTTCTCCTCTATTTTTTCCTGCGCCTGACACATGGGCCAAGTACTGGTGGTTTGACAGCCCGACAAACACCTTAAATTTCCCCCCGGAGTAAACAGGCCCTCACTAGGTCCCGGGCTGTCACATGGGAACCAGTTCACGAAGTTCCTTCTTCGCTACCTCCTGACGTCTTGAGCTCTGCCTTCCGCGCGACCCCTTCCAGCACTGGTAAAATGCCCACGTCACTGGCCATCATGCTCGGTCGATTTCGTCTGTCTAAACTGGCGCAACTCAACCCCAATTTCGCTACTTCTCGCGCCAATTCAACGTTCCAACAGCCGGCCTTGGGGTCTAAAATCTTCTCAAAAGTCGCCGGATCTTCCATAGCGCCTTCAACTGTCTCCCGCGCATCCCAGAACTTTCCTGTCAGCATCTCCAGAATCGTGATGCCAAGCGCAAAGATATCGGTCTTCTCGTCGAAGACTTTGGATCGGAAGCATTCCGGCGCCATATACTGCGAGTTACTGTCCAGGAGGAATGCACCTAGAGAATGATTCCCTCCACAGTGACTAGTACTAGTTGCAATTCCTCCTCCTCCTCCTCCTCCTCCTGAAGAATCGGCAAACTGTTGAGCGGAAAGCAGCGCGTGCTCGACGCCTCCGATCTTCGCCACAAAGTTGTGGTCTAGGAGAACGTTGGCCGGCTTGATGAGACGGTGGATGAAGGGCTTACCTGACGGCAATACATTGGACTGAAGGAAGAACAGAGCGCGCGAGACCTCGACCATCACGCGGAAGCGGACGTACCATGAAAGGACTTCGCTTCGGCGCATCTCCACGTCTCCTCCGCCGGGTACCATCCAGTCCTTGACGGTGCCTTTTGCGTCGTGCCGGTAGACGAGATAGTTCCTTTCGTAGCAGGCACCCAGCAGAGTTAGAAGATGCGGGTGGCGCAGAGTTCTTACGCGGTCGACCACCGCCATCTTGAACGTGACAGCGTCCATCCGCTGCATATTTGCCGCCGTTACCTTCTTTATGAGAAGAGGAGTACCGTCACTCAGTCTACCACGGTAAAAACTTCCGCACAGATCCCCAATATCGCACTTTCGGTTCGCATGAAAGCCGTTCGTGGCATCCTCGAGCTCCTCGAGGGAGAACACCCGCACTTCCGATACGCCTAGCTGTTTTTCTAATCTCTGTTCTACCTCCCGATACCTCACCCTCAACCTCTTCAAAGTGCCGGTCAGTCTTTCTTTGCCCTCCCTCAGGTCTAGAACTCTCTTCACTAGCCGTACTCGTGAATCGTTTGTGATCCGCCGGTTGCTTACTTCCTTGCTCAAGGCAGTTTGCAACTCCTCAATCCTCCGCTTCGACTCCTCGAGCTCTTTTGCTGCTGCGGCCCTACCCTCCTTCAAATCGCGGATCACCTTCTCCAGCTGCAGGACCCTCTTTACTGTCCCACTCTCCTTATTCTTCTTAGGACCCTTCTCTCGCAAATCAGTTGGCGCTTCCTTGCGATGCAGCTCGACGTGGACCCCACATTGCCCCACGATTTCCTCCTCGGAATCAGCCGGTGGTTCGATCTTGACTTTGCCGGCCCGGCCTTCCAACTTGTCCACATCCTTTCCTGACGCCGGCATCCGCTCACGCTCTGTATCCCTAAGCGATCTATTTTTGTCGATGTCTCCCCCCGCTGTACTAGGAGTTGATCTCTGCACCTGTCCCTCCTTCTGGACCCCAGTTTGCCGCACGATTTCCTCCTCCCGAGGCTCCCGTGGTTCGATCTTGACTTTGCTGGCCCTGCTTTCTAACTCGTCCACAACCTTTCTTGACGCCAGCATTCGCTCATGTCCAGTGTCATTATGCAATCTGTTCGGCGTGTTCGTGTCGACGTCTCCCCCGCCTGTGCTAGGAGTTGATCTCCACATCCGCACCTGTACTTCCTCCTTTTCCTTTTTGAACGTGGCCTCCCTCGACTGATCAATTGCATCGCGTGACGTGCTATGCACGCCACTGACTGGTGTACTCCCAGACCGCATGGCATTGAGTGACGTACTGATAGGCTCGTGAGCAGCTGTTATGATTGCAGAGAGCGATTCTTCTCCCAAATCGTCGAGCGCTTTCTTGCGCCGCTTGCGATGCAGCCTGACATGGGCCCCAGTTTGCCCCTCGATTTCCTTCTCTGGTTCTATCTCGACTTTGCTCCTCTGGCCTTCCTCCTCTTCCCCATCCTCCTCTTCCCCATCCCCTTTCAACACAGAGCAAAGGGACTCTCTCAGCACCTGTCGTTCATTTTCCCGGTCTAACACCTGCCCTCGCTCGCCCATGACATCGAGCGGTGAATCCGTGCGAAGATCAATCATCTCGTGTTCTGCAGAAAGTGAATCTCCCCCACCTTGCAACGGTTGGTTCTCCTGTGACATTGCTGACACCTGCTGCGGCTCATAAACGGGACCGAGCGCAGATTGAGAAACCGAATCCGAACCCGATTCAGAAACAGATTCTCCCTGCAGCGGTTCAGGGTGCCCTTCTTCTCCCACTCCCGTCATCCGTACCTCAACTACCAAGAACGCTCCTCGCAGCGCCATAACAAACACATTGCAGTTTTGGCATGGCGTGACCGCCACAACGGATCCGGCACCCTGTCCGGGACCGCCTGAGAGTGTCCCGCCTGCCCTTTGGCAGGGCCAGTGAGATGAAACGAGCTTGTAGTTTGACTTTCTCCACGCTTTGATTCCTCCCTCCCTGCTTGCCGTAAAGATGTACGGCAAGGTCGGATAGCTGAAGGCCCCGATAATGCCGTGCCGGACACGCCCTTCTCCCAATTTGGCGATGCAAACTGAGTTCTCGTAGTCCCACACGCGGGCGAACGGTTCCAACCCGTTTGTGGTCGACACCAGGAGCTTCTTCTTCTTCTGATTCAGAAGTCCGGTGCAAAATTGTATCCTGTTAACCCTTCGCATGTTAGGCGCTCGCAGCGTTCGAACCGCAGAGTTACTTTCCGTACTCCACACCTTGACTGTGCCGTCGTACGAGGCGCTCGCGAAGACGCGCGGATCCGCCGGATGAAATATCACATCGGTCACCGATCGAGAATGGCCTTTAAAGGAAGTCTTCTCCCAGTTGCGGTCCCAGTCCCATAGAACGATGTGGCCACTGCCGGACAACAGATACGGCAAACTTTGGTGGACTGCGATTCTTGGCGTGCACATCTTTTCTTCTTTGATGATCGGCAACGACGGCAAGTCAGCTGCCTGCAACTTATCGAATGGCGGTTCTCTGGCGCCGCAGCAGCTGTGATGCAGCGGTGGGTTCAAACCGTCGACTGGGCAAACCAGAAAACCAGTGGCATGCCTCAGCACAATCCAGTTTTTCTGCACGATGAATTTCGCCCCTTGGACATCGTACTCTTTTGGGATTCGCCATAAGGAGATCGCTTTGCCAGTCTCGTAGTCGTGAATGTGCAGATCTTTGCCGTTCGGTACGAACATAACCCAGGGCTTGAAAGGGTGCAAGTCTATTCGCATCTCTCTCTGCGGAGGAGAACCCAAAGTATAGAAATCTGACATCCTCGTCAACCGTCGCGGCACCAGATTGAGCTCTAAGACTTCTCCTTCTTCAGCATTCCCCATACTCGCGGCCGTCGGCGTCCCCTCCCCTGGAACAAGCACGCCCCTTGCTGCTCGGCTGCTGAATGTGGTCACAATTGTGCCCAGATGCGTCCCGGAAACAGAAGTAAGCGCCCAGTAGTCACTTTGGTATCAACACCTTCATCGCCAATCGGTTGGTTCACATTAAATTTCCACAGAGACATTGCGCTGCGTACTTCA